ATACTCTAAGGCAAAAAGCCTCCTTATTATACCATAATAAGGAATAAAGTTTAAAAATAAAGACAACATAAAATTCAACTTTTTTTTCTTCTTTCTTTCTTTTTTTTTTTTTTTTTTTGAGATGGAGTTTCGCTCTTGTTGCCCAGGCTGGAGTGCAATGGCGCGACCTCGGCTCACCGCAACCTCTGCCTCCTGGGTTCAGGCAATTCTCCTGCCTCAGCCTCCTGAGTAGCTGGGATTACAGGCACGCGCCACCATGCCCAGCTAATTTTTTGTATTTTTAGTAGAGACGGGGTTTCACTGTGTTGACCAGGATGGTCTCGATCTCTTGACCTCATGATCCACCCGCCTTGGCCTCCCAAAGTGCTGGGATTACAGGCTTGAGCCACCGCGCCCGGCCTTCTTTCTTTTTTTTTAAGAGACGGGGTCTCACTATGTTGCCCAAGCTGGAGTGCAGTGGCTATTCACAGGCACGATCCCACTACTGATCAGCACGGGAGTTTTGACCTGCTCCGCTTCTGACCTAGGCCGGTTCACCCCTCCGTAGATAACCTGGTGGTCTCCCGCTCCTGGGAGGTCACCATATTGATGCTGAACTTAGTGTGCACACTCGATCGTTATAGCACACAACAGCCCAGAACTCCTGGGTTCAAGTGATCCTCCCACTTCAGCCTCCCGAGTAGCTGGGACTGCAGGCACGTGCCACCATACCCGGCTCTTCTTTCTTTTTTTAAAGATAGGGTTCCACTATGTTGTCCAGACTGGCCTTGAACTGCTGGGCTCAAGTCATCCTTCTGCTTTGGTCCCCTGAGTAGCTTGGACTATAAGTATGTGCCACTACCCCTGGCTGTTTATTTTTTTTTTAATCAGAAAGATTTCGTTTGTTTTCTCTTTTTTTGAGATGGAGTCTCGCTCTGTTACCCAGCATAGAGTGCAGGGGCACAATCTGGCTCACTGCAACCTCCGCGTCCCAAGCGATTCTGCCACCTCAGCCTCCCGAGTTGCTGGGACTACAGGTGCCACTACGGCTGGCTGATTTTTGTATTTTTTGGTAGAGATGGCATTTGCCATGTTAGCCAGGCTGTTCTCAAACTCCTGATCTCAAGTGATCCACCTGCCTTGGCCTCCCTAAGTGCTGGGATTGCCAGGTGTGAGCCACCGTGCCCGGCCTGTTTTGTTTTTTGGTGTAATAAAATACACATAACAAAATTTGGTATTTTAACAATTTTTAAGTGTACAATTTAGTTGGCATTAAGCACATTTGCAATGTTGAGCAACCATTACCACCATCCATTTACACAACTCTTCATCTGAAAAAGTTTCAGTGAAACATTTTACCCATTCACTAGGAAGTTTAGAACACGACTTTCATAAGCCTGATTTGATGAACACATGGAGAACCCTATACTGAACAACTAGAAAATAGACATTCTTTTCAAGATCAAGTTACCAAAAAAATTAGGTTGGCCTCAGATCTCTCCATAGCTACATTTAACCCTAGAAGACTGTAGAGCTACAATTTAAAAAATCCTAAAGGAAAGAAAGCATGATCTGATAGTGAAACGGTTGTTGAAATGTTTAGGCAATAAACTAGAAGATGCAATAACTCATCAGGGAATATTGCTCTTATTTGAGGACTTTTTTGAGGACTCAACTAGAGGACAAGTTCTAGGCAATCAAAAGAGAAGCGAGACAAAGGGCAGTCGGTGGATTTTTAATGAGCACTAGATATAATAATTACAGGTCTAGAGCTGAAAACCAAAGTAAGAAGTAGAGTAATAGAGGAGAATGTAAATGTTATATGCAGTGACAAGACAGAAATGATACAACAAAGCCTGCAGGAAGGAGAAAGGGAAAAGGAGGTGGAAGGTAGAATAAGTAAGCTGGTTTCCTCATTTTTTTAATTGCTAGGGGTGGGTGGGGGAATGTCAAAGAATATCATTTAAAGCTAACAAGTCATAGTATAAGCACATTCAAAGTATAATGGCAAACACTAAGACAATACAATCTACTAAAATCAGGTGCTAGAGGAGAGGAGAGGGAGGGAGGAGGAACAAGAAATATACCAATTTCATGACTTCTCACAGTGGGGATTAATAGATGCCATCTAAAGAAATAAATGATGAATAATAGAGTTAAAAGGCTAAAACTAAACCATAAGCTGGCACACACATGCACACACACGCACACACAAGGGAGGGAAGTAGGGGGGTGAGTGAGGAGGGGAAAAAGGAGAAGGAGTTTTTTTACAGGCTTTAAAATTGAAAGCCAGACATAAAGTAATACCACCAAAACCAAATATATCTGTATATTAATAAATATATAAATTTATCTATTTATATAAACCTTTCAGATGATATCACACAGTAAAACCTAATTCAAGATCTATTCAAGAGGCACAACAGCAACAAAATACTTTATTTTTTTTTAAGACGGAGTTTCACTCTTGTTACCCAGGCTAGAGTGCAATGGCGCAATCTCAGCTCACTGCAACCTCCACCTCCTGGATTCAAGCAATTCTCCTGTCTCAGCCTCCCAAGTAGCTGGGACTACAGGTGTGTGCCACCATGCCCAGCTAGTTTTTGTGTTTTTAGTAGAAACAGGGTTTACCATGTTGACCAGGATGGTCTTGATCTCTTGACCTTGTGATCCACCTGCCTCGGCAAAATACTTTTTTAAAAGTGGAAAATAAAAAGTAGGCAAAAAAGGTACAGCAAGCAAATGTTAAAAAAAACAAAGGAAGCAGGTATTGTGACTTTGGTACCAGTTAAGGTTGGTTTCAGTTCTCCCACCTCCTGAAAAAAGCCTTTGTTTTTAGAAAGTACAAAAAAAGTATGGAGAACAAATTTAAGGTAGTTACTAAATAATTATTATCTGTTCATTAATTCCCAGAAAATTTCTGGAAAATACATATGGAGCTGTTAAGTCACATGCTGGGGGTGCTTAAAGAAATAATTTTTATTCTTTTCCTTAAATAATTCTGTATAGTTTTAATTATTGCTAAGAATATGATTTTACTTTATATGAAAACGTAATCAATAAATAATAGATATTTCAGTGAAACTAAAAATGATCAGATTGCATACTCTAAAATATAAAACAGGCTGGGTGTGGAGTCTCACTCCTATAATCCCAGCACTTTGGAAGCCTGAGGTGGGAGGAATGCTTGAGCCCAGGAGTTTGAGACTAGCCTGGGCAACAGGAGACCCCATCTCTACTTAAAAAAATTAAATGAATAAAATAAAATATGAATATTTCAGTTTTTCCTACATATTAGCAATTATATATAATTATTCCATTTAAATACACAGAATTTATAGAACTGCTCCTAAGAAAATAAACATGACACTTTTCAAGATGCTATTCTAATTTTAGGTGACTATAAAAGATTTAGATAAATGTAAGTTAGACATCTTTCATTGTTGATATGGTTTGGATCTGTGTCCCTCCCTGCCTAAATCTCATGTCAAACTGTTACCTCCAATATTGGAGGTTGGGCCTGGTGGGAGGTGATTGGATCATGAAGGTGAAATTCTCATGAATGGTTTCGCACCATTCTCTCGGTGCTGTTTTTGTGATGGCAAGTGAGTTCTCACAAGATCTGGTTGTTTAAAAGTGTGAGGCGCCTCTTTCCACCCCCTTGCCGCTCTGGCCATGTGATATGCCTGCTCCCTCTTTGCCTTCTGCCGTGATTGTCAGCTTTCTGAGGCCACCCTAGAGGTTGAGTAGACGCCTGCATCATGCTTCCTGTATAGTCTGCAGAACCATGAACCAATTAAACCTTTTTTCTTTAGAAATTACCCAGTCTCAGGTATTTCTTTACAGCAATGCAAGAATGGACTAATACAGTTGTGATGCTCTAATATTCAAACAGCTGTTAATATTCAAATTTAGAAAAAAATTGCAAGTACCACATAAAGGAAATATACTAACACTTCCCTATAAAATTTCCTAATAGTTGAGGGTTATCCATTAAAGTTAAGTACTGAGATACTAAGATACTAAGAATATACACAGAAAGTATTTTTAAGTATTCCTGCTCTTTAAAAGTGTCATAATATATTTTTGTAGTTTCAAGTATTAAATATAGTTAAGTTAAAAAAATAAATAGTAATAAAAACAGTGAACAACTGTTAGTGTCAAATGCCACCTAATCTGGATTTGTGGAGGGCATTTACCCTCTGACAATTTATCTTTAAAGCAGTGGTTAGAACTAGCTTCCAAGTAATGGCATTTCATCACTTCTCATAATCTATCATAGTTCGCTGTGTACCATGCCTCCCAGCAAAGCAAGTTCATTAATGTAAAGTTAACTTGTTACTACTTGTGGGCAGACTCTGAGGTTTTACCTGGACACAGAAGAATGTGACTTCATATTTATAGCTCTGACATGCATATGCTTTAAAGAAAAAATCTCCTCTGGCTGAATTTGCAGATTTCAGCTCACACTGCTTTTTCTCTTTCTCCTCTGCCCCCAACAATTTATGGCTAAATAAGCAGGATAAATTAAACAAAAACCTTTGTAGGTCTTTTTTTTTTTTTTTTTCTTTTTCTTTTTTGCAGGAGAGACAGGGTCTCACTCTGTTACCCAAGCTGGAGTACAGTGGCATGATCATGGCTCACTGCAATCTTGACCCTCTGGGCTCACGCAATTCTCCCACCTCAGCCTTCTGAGTATCTGGGGCTAAGAGTGCATGCCACCAAGTTCAGCTAATTTTTTATTTTCTGTAGAGATGAGGTCTTGCTATTACCCAGGCTGGTCTCAAATTCCTGCGTTCAAGTGACCATCCTCCTGTCTCAGCCTCCCAAAGTGCTGGGATTAGCGGCATAAGCCACCACACCTGGCCTGTATGTCATGTTTTAATTCCCTTTTGAAGAATCAAATCAATATGATAATAATAATAGTTTTCTGTATTACCCAAGTAAAATAGTCAGGGGTCTAACTAGCACATCTGAATAAGATAGAATACTAAAAGTATCATAAAATCAAATTCACTTACTTGACATTTCTGACGCAACTGTCGTAGCTCTTTTATAACTGAGACAAGAGCTGACTTCTTTTCAGATACCAGTGAATTCAGTTTTTTCACCTGTCATTTAAACAAAAAATATAACAACTAAAAAAAGAATTCAAAAGAAGAAAAACACTACATACATAAAGATATTTAATTCAGTGTTAAATATAAGAGTAAAAAACTATAAACTACTTCAGTGCCAAACAACAGAGAAGTGCTTTAGTAAATCCTGATTCCTCAGCAAGGTGGAATACTATACTACTTAATCATTCAAAATGTCAGTTCTCAAGACTGTAAATCATTACGGGAAAATGTTTATAATTTCACATTGAATAAATAAATTACAAAATTGCCTTATACAACTATAATCATGATATATTATATAAAAATATATAATTATGTAGGCATACAAAATTACATAAATATAGATGGAGTGATATTCAAAATACTATAGTATGGTCCAAATAGCATTAAGTAATAATCCATCAGAATGGACACCAGTCAGAGAGATAAACGGGTCTTTTTTTTTTTTGAGACAGAGTCTTGCTTGGTTGCTCAGGCTGAAGTGCAGTGGCATAGTCTCAGCTCACTGCAAACTCCGCTTTCCAGGTTCATGTGATTCTCATGCCTCAGCCTCCTGAGTAGCAGGGACTACAGGCGTGCGACACCATGCCTGGGTAATTTTTGTATTTTTAGTCGAGATGGGGTTTCACCAAGTTGGCCAGATAGGTCTTGAACTCCTGACCTCAAGTGATCCGCCTGCCTTGGCCACCCAAAGTGCTAGGATTACAGGTGTGAGCCACCATGCCCAGCCTGAATAGGGTCTTAAATGCTAACCTTTTTAGGAGTTAGATTGTGATGAGATCCAGAGGGTTCTGGGGGAATGGCCATGTGGACAAGGCAACTGGAGGGGGGTACTCTGAGAGTTTGGAGCAGCCATTTACCAACAAGTAAGATAAGATTTCAACATTTTAATGCCTGGTGAAAGCGTACTAGTACATTCTGATTGAATACCAGTCCTGAAAATGGAAAGATACTAAGAATATACACAGAAATGAAATAATTCTATTACGGTGGCATAATCTGGGAAAACTTATTTTCCTTCTTAAATATTTCTTTAATGTTCTATAACTTTTGGACATTAAAAAAAAAACAGGAAATGTATAAACTATTAGAATTTGAACACTCTTACTAGAATGAAAAAAATTCAAAAGAGATTGATAAAGACATACGAGGTTGGGTGCAGTGGCTCATGCCTGTAATCCTAGCACTTTGGGAGGCCGAGGCAGGTGGAGCACCCAAGGTTGGGAGTTCAAGATCAGCCTAGCCAACATGGTGAAACCCCATCTCTACTAAAAATACAAAAATTAGCTGGAAATGGTGGCACACGCCTGTAGTCCCAGCTACTTGGGAGGCTGAGGCACGAGAATTACTTGAATCCCAGAGATGGATGTTGTAGTAAGCCAAGTTTGCCCCACTGCACTCTAGCTTGGGCAATAGAGTGAGACTCTGCCTCAAAAAAAAAAAAAAAGAGAAAAAGAAAAAGACAGATGAAAGAATATAATATAATGTGCAGAAATTAACAGTTGAATGTTTCACAGAAAATAAAACAAACACAAAACACCTGTCTTCTAGCTACACAATAAAAGAAAATTTAAATAAAAGTATAATCACCATTTCAGACATGTCATCCAATGTTCGTCCTTTCATTTCATCAACTTCACTCTTCAGTGCAGATACTCTTTCTAGCTCTTCTTGGGTGTAGCTATATCCAGATACACCCTTTTTCTCCTCCATAGTTTCCTAAAAATAAAAAACAAAAAGGCCACAAAACAGCATCAAAATCTTGCTGGTTCCCATAAGAAATACACAAATTTCATACATAACAAAAAAATGTAAATAGAATTAATTAGTTTAGAATCCTAAAGGGCAATCTTCATTGACTTCCATTATTTTATTCAATTACATGCCTTTACATTATAAACCTACAGTATCTTCAGGTGCATAGGAAGTATTTCTAATTGTAGACTTTATAATAACGTTATGTACTTAGCACAGAACCTAAAACGTAGGATACATTCAATAAACATTTGATGAATGAATGAATTCTCAAGTGATTAGCTGTACTTGCATTTGTTCACTCATCCAATATTTATTATATCTTTAAATGTGCCAAGCACAGTTCTAGGCACCAGATATACAGCAGTGAATAGAACAGGAAAAAAAAAATCCCTTCCCTCATAGAGCTTACTAGTAGTGGGATAAATACGCAATATGTAAATAAGTAAATAAATAAACATAATATAACCACAAGGTAGTTAGAGAAGGTGATCCTGATCCTGAGAAGATGACATCTGAGTAAAGCCCTGTAGGAAGTGAGGGAATTAGCAAGTGCAAAAGCTGGGAGCAAACTTGGCCAGTTCAAGAAACAGTAAGGAGGTACAGTGAGAATAAGGTGGGGGTGAAGAAGGGATTACATGGGGCTCAGCTGGTTTGCTAGGTCTCAGTGTACATCTATTGTCCCCTTGTACTCTCAAAAAATATCTTAGATAATAAATTATATTATCTTATTTTTAAGCTGATAAAAGAGCTTTGTTTTATTTAAAATAAGATGGGAGGCTGTTGAAGGGTTCAGAGTAGAGCAATTTTAAAATGATCACTTTAATACCTGGGGTGAGATCAGACTAGGTAGAAGCAGGGAGGCCAATTAGAAGACCATCTCAATAGTTCAAATTAGAGAAAATGATAGCATGAATCAGGGTGGTGGTGACAGTAATAATGAGAAGTGGTTCTGTATATATTCTGAAGGCAGATCCAACAAGATATTGTGACAAATTAGATGTAGAGATGTGAAAGAAAGTAAAGGGCAAAGAATGAGTTCAAGGTTTCTGCCTTGAGAGACTAACAAGATGAAGCTTCTATTTGTTGAGATGAAGACCTGTTTGAGGAAGTGGTGCAGATCAGAAGTTTATTTTTGGACATGTTAAAAATTTGAAATACATATTAAGATATCTAAATGGAGAGGTCAAGATGCTATATGTGCAAGACTGGAATTAGGCCAGGAGTGGTGGCTCACACCTGTAATCCCAGCACTTTGGGAGGCCGAGGTGGGTGGATCACGAGGTCAGGAGTTCAAGACCAGCCTGACCAACATGGTGAAACCCTGTCTCTAATAAAAATACAAAAATTAGCTGGGCATGGTGGTGCACACCTGTAATCCAAGTTACTCAGGAGGATTAGGCAGGAGAATCACTTGAATTTGGGAGGCGGAGGTTGCAGTGAGCCGAGAGCATGCCATTGCACTCCAGTCTGGGCAACAGAGTGAGAATCCATCTCAAAAACAAAAACAAAAACAAAAACAAATGTCCCAGCACTTTGGGAGGCCGAGGCGGGTGGATCACAAGGTCAACAGATCGAGACCATCCTGGTCAACATGGTGAAACCCCGTCTCTACTAAAAATACAAAAATTCAGCTGGGCATGGTGGCGCGTGCCTGTAATCCCAGCCACTCAGGAGGCTGAGGCAGGAGAATTGCCTGAACCCAGGAGGCGGAGGTTGCGGTGAGCCGAGATCGCACCATTGCACTCCAGCCTGGGTAACAAGAGCGAAACTCCGTCTCAAAAAAAAAAAAAAAAAAAAAATGAAAAGAAGAAAAAGAAAACCCACAAAACCCGTAAGAAATGCATGGAAAATGGTGAAAATGTCCAACATGCATGTAGTTGGAGTCAAAGTAAAAGAGGACAGAATGAAATTATAGTAATAAATAAAGAAATACTGGGCTGGGCACAGTGGCTCATGCCTATAATTCCATTAGGAGGCTGAGGCAGGTGGATCGTCTGCATCCAGGAGTTCAAGACCAGCTTGGGCATCCTGGCCAAACCCTGTCTCTACAAAAACGACCAAAAAAAAAAAAAAAAATCTGGGCTTGGTGGTTCGGGCCTGTAGTCCCAGCTGCTTAGGAGGCTGAGGTGGCAGAGTCACCTGAGCCTGGGAAGTCGAGGCTGCAGTGAGCTGAGATTACACTACTGGACTCTAGCCTGGGAAACAGAGTGAGATCCTGTCTTTAAAAATAAAAAAGAAAGAAAGAAGGAAGGAAGGAAGGAAAGAAAGACATAAATAAATAAATAAATAAATATTGGCTGAGAACTTTTCAAAAACAAAGACATCAAGCCACATATTCAAGAAGCTTTACAGACCCTAAGCCAGGTGAATAAAAAATAAAATAATACCTAGAAAAGTCATAGTAAAACCACTGAACAACCAAACACAGAGAGATCTTAAAAACAACTGGAGAATAACACACTACCTTAAACAAAAAACAAAGAACAAAACCAAGATGTATACAGTTGATGTTACAAAATAAATAATGGAAGCCAGATGACAATGGGAATTAAATCTTTAAAGTGCTGAAAGAAAATAGCTGCCAACCAAAAAGTCAACATTCAGTAAAAATGTGCTTCAAAATGAAGGTAGAATACAGGTGTCTTAAACAAAAAAAAAAAAAAGAAGATTTCAGCGGAACTGCAGTAGACCTGAACTAAATGAAATATTTAAGGTGAGCTCATTAGACAGAAAGCAATAGAAGAATGATGATGAAGGAAGGAAAGAAGAACAATGAAAAGAGTAAACATGTAGATAATCTAGAATAATACTGAATATAATATCATGCAGTATTTAAATTATATCTAGGCCCAGGCACAGTGGCTCACACCTAGCACTTAAGGAGGCCAAGGTAGATGGATTGCCTGAGTCCCTGAGTTTGAGGCCAGCCTGGACAATACAGTGAGATTCCATCTCTAAAAAAAAAAAAAAAAACACACACACACAAATTAGCCGGGTGTGGTAGTGCACACCTGTAGTCCCAGGTACTTGGGAGGCTGAGGTGGGAGGATCATTTGAGCCCAGGAGATTGAGGCTGCAGTGAGCTGTGACTGCACCAATACACTCCAGCCTGGGCAACAGAACAATACCCCTTCTCAAGAAAATTGTATTTAGAATTAAAAAAGTATTATCAACAATAACACTTAATATGCGAAGGAGGTAAACAAAGTTAAAGTGTTTTAGGTTCTTGCATTGCCCAGGACACAGCAAAAGTAAAAATTTAGTGAAGACTGTAATCAGTCAAGGGTGTATATCATAATCTTTGGCATAAGCACTGGAGTGCTATCACTCACTGGCTGAATGGAACTAAGGACTCTATCACTGTTGGCAGGTAGAGTACTGATAGTCCCAGGCATGTTGCAGCAATGCAATTAGAAAGCCTTTCACTTGTGGTGAACTGGGGAAGAAGAATACAGGTGGACGGGGATTGTAGTGGCCAAAAAAATGTATGGCTCAGATTGCTTTCAAGAGAATCGGCTGAGAGGAACAGAGCTGATTGACATCCATAGCTGCTGCCCCTCTGGGTCCATCTCACGTTTGTACCAAAGCTATGCTTCCCTGGAGCTGCTCTCAGCCAATGACTGAGCACAGTATTAGTATTATTAGTACTAATATTAGCCGTATTAGTGTTAGCCCAGTCCTGCCTGACAACGGACTCCTCTAATAGGTGACTGGCTCAGGAACTCCCTTTCAACATGACCAAAACTTGCTCAGAGTTGTGTTGAAGTCTGAGGCTCTTTCTACCCAATCTTCCTCCTTTGCCCTCTCTCTTCACAGGTGTCAGACCTGAATCAGAGCCTGAAGGCTTTCCCTGCTCCTCCTGCTCCCTTCCCTTTATCCTTCACAAGTGTCTCCTTCAATAAATCTCTTGTATGTGTAATCCCATCTCGGTGTCTGCTTCTTGGAGGATCTGAACTGATACAAAGATGCACTAGATGGTGTAATGTTTTTGACATTTGAGGAGAAACAGTAACTATAAGGACTATGGAATTGGGGTGGCTATCACTAACCTTCTCTGATGGTTGAAGAGATAAAATAACAGGCTCAAATCTATTAATTTGTAATTAAAAGCAAAGTGATCAAGTTCTAGAATCTCCTTAAGGGCTTTAAAGGAATCCTCATTTCCCATGGTAACAGGGCAGAGGGAGCTGAAAACCAGGTGCAGGACTTAAAGATTGACAAAACTCCAGAGAAAGTTGAATTCTTAGTCTAGGCAAATATTCTATGCCAAGGTCAGGGCCCTGACAGAGAAGAAAAAGGGTGCTGAGTCTGGGATGGGGGTATCTGTATAGACCCACTGGAGAACCTTGAATCTTCAGATTATCCTGTGTCCTCTGGGCAGTGGCAAATGGCTCAGCTTGTCAGTTAAGGGGATGGAAGATGCAAGACTGCAAGGACAAGGAGGTCTAGGGAAGAGGCATATGGATGAACCTATGGGAGTAGGCACTAAGTATAAAGATCTTTTCATTACATGGAAACCAGAGAATGTCCACTGCAGAAGAGGCACTAAGCAACCAAGTGGAAAGGATGATTTGGCCAGCAGATGTCAGCCAGCCTCTGTCACTGTCCCACACAGTGCTTAGAAATGGACTCATAAACAGAATGGCTTTGTTGGTAGAGATGAAGGTTACATATGAGCCAAATGGCATGGGCTCTCTCTCACCAATGCTCATCTAGCTACTGCCAACATCAAAAGTCTGACCTGCCAGCAACAGACACCAATCCTGAGCTCTGGGTATGGAATCATCCCTTGAGGAAACCAACCCCCTATTTTGTGGCAATTTAATAACACCAGACCCTTTCTGCCTTGAAAAGGGTGAGATTTCATCCTTAATAGGACTGATCCATATTTTAGGTATAGGTTTGCCTTTCTTGCCCATTGTACTTCAGTCAGCATTACTATCCACAAGCTTAGAGCATTCAGTCTACTGATGTGAAATCTCACATAATATCACCTTAAACCAAGGGACACACTTTACAGCAAAGGAAATATGATGGTGTTCATATGATCATATAATTCAGTAATTTTATCACATACTATACTATCTGGAAAGCTGATGGCCTAACAGAATAGTGGAACAGTGTCTTGAAGGCAAGGTCCCAGCTTGGAATTGATGGCCTGTGAAAATGAGTTCTACCATTAGGACACGCTGTACACCTTAAACCAATGCCCATGATATGGTGCTATGTTCTCAATAGAAAGTATAGGTCTCAGAACCATGAGATGAAAGTATAAGTGTCACCACTAACCATGATCCCCAATGATCCATTTTAGGGAATTATGCTTCCCTTCCAGACAACTTTAGGCTCTGTGGGTACAGATGCTCTAGTTGCCAGGTGGGCATGCTTCCATCAGAAGGCACATTAAGAAGCCCTTGACAATGTTCTGACTACCATTTGGTCACTTGGGCTCCTCATGTCAATAGACCAGCAGGCAAAGAAAGCAGGACATCATAAGGCTATATAGATGCTGCTATATAATAGAGATAGAAAGAAACACATTTGGGACTCAGATAATCCATTGGGGCATATCTTGGCACTCCCATGCCCAGTTTTAACTATAAATGGGCAAGCACAGCAGCCATGGCCTGGTAAGGGAATGATTACTGGAGTCTCACACTTTTCAAGGATGGGGAACCGGGGCATCCCACCAATTAAGTCATTTAAGCCAGAGGAGGTGCTAGCTGAGGTGAGGGAACTCTAGAATGGATAGTAAAGGAAGGAGATGTTGAGTATCAGTTATGTCCTTGGAACCAAATGTGGAAATGAGAGTTTCCATTTGTCACACTAATCTTTCTCCTATAAGTTTTCCTAGAAATTGTGACCAACCAGAATCCTATAGAAGCTATAGCTGGGTAGAGTAAATTTAACATGGCAAATAAGTAGAACCTACTAGTTCAAGGGGTGAACTGTAGTAGATGTTGCTGGTGCCCCACTCAGACCTCATTTGCAAACTGTTATGAGTGTTGACTGCTATATAGCTCATAGTTACCCCCTTCTCCAGAATGTCTTCAGCCAAATGGGAGCTGTCTCACCTAAAAGGTTACATTCGACCACAGCCAAATGACTGACTGCCATGGGGTAAAAAGGCCATCCCCCTTGCATCAAGGTGGAATCAACTCTGTGGTGCAATTTGTTCCAAAGTTGATCATGGGATCAGAATGAAGCCAACTCCAGTTGAGACCATGTCCTTTATTGCTTGGCTTTTTTCTGCTGCCTCATCTGCTTCCCTTATGGCCCTCCTTCTGAGGGTACTCCCTCAATAAATCACTAGCACAAAGAATTCCCTTCTTGAGCTCTGCTTCTAGGGACCCAACTTAAGAAAAAATATAAAGCAAAAACTGATAGAACTAAAAAAAGCAGCAAAGCAATAATTATAGTTAGAGATTTTTAACACACTTCTTTTAGTAACTGATGGAATAGGCAGACAAAAAATCAACAGGGAGATGGAAGATATGTATATCATAGCTAACACACTGACTGAATTGACATACATAAAATGCTATTCACAACAACTGCAGAATATACATTCTTTTCGTTGCACATGAAACAATTACCAAAACACTGGGCCATAATGCAAGACTACAAATTTCACAGGACTGAAATCAGAGTGTGCTCTCTGGTCACAATGGAAACAACCTAGAAATTAATAAGAAAATCCTTCAAATGTTTGCTTTTAAGCCAGAAGGTCAAACAAATCACAATGGAAATTAGAAAATATTTTGAAGTAAAAAATAATGCAGTTACTATTATCAGTTTTAAAGTTAGTGCTGTTAGAATCTACGTTGATACACAATAAATTTTCAATCTTAAGTTCCCTAAAAGCAAATAATATTCACCGGCATGAGACAACATGAGACAGTTCATATTGCCAGCTAAAAGAAAACACAGCTGGCTGACATTTCATTTATCTCTATCAGGTTATTGCTAGCTGGTAAACCAGCACCCAGATGAAATAGTTTCCCCATTCGTGAAAGAAAAAAAAAAGCCAAATGAAGAAAACCCTGAGGAACTGGCATCCACAATAAGAACAATTTTGTTGTTGGACTACTTTGAATTTAACTCTTTTCAGACAACCAAGGCACAAACATAAGAAATAAGCCTGGAGGCCGGCATCCACATAGCAATTCCCTGGGTATTTCTTTCCAAAGCTTCTTGGAAGTAGCTGCTTAGAAATTTCTGCCTAGCAGGCCATGATAAAAAAATATTTTACAGTCACTCATATTAACTAACCAAACGAAAAAAACCTACTTGGAATTCAACTTCTATTAATAACCCTAAAGTTAGCACACACAAAAAAGCCAGTGCTTACTGCTACATTAAAAATAAATGAATCAACTTATATGACATCTCTGTAATTAATCAGAGAAAAGTAATACTTTTATGATTTCTCCAGTAAAAACAATGATCTCAGTATAAAGCTGTAACCCATAAACCTCCTAGCATTTGTATTTATAGCAGCCCAAGATAATACTGTATTACCAGTTGTTGTTGAATATTTTCATGACGTTGCTTAAGAAGTTCTTCAGTCCTCTGCAAAAGACCAAATTCAGCTTTAAGTTCAGCTATTATCTGATGCTTCTTTTTGAAAACTGTACTCTTGCTTCGAAGTTTATTGACATATCGTTTGAACTGTAAAAAAAAACACAATATGTAATCTAATGAGTAGAAAAGTAGTAGCTAAATATATCTGTATAAACTCAATGTATAAAAATTGTCTCCTCTACTTCACAACATGTGTCACACGTATATAGTAACTTAGTTTTATTAGAAACTTGGAAAGACTAATAGCTGAATTAAAATATTTTGTGTTTTTAATTTTTTGACACATCTAAATATATGTATATATTATTTATATCTTATATGTACCTATATGTGTATATATTGTGTATATGTATACATATAAAATATGTATATATATATATATATATATATAGAGAGAGAGAGAGAGAGAGAGAGCGCGAGAGAGAGAGATAGGGTCTTGCTCTGTTGCGCAGGCTGGAGTGCAGTGGTGCAATCGTGGCTCATTGCAGTCCTAACCTCCTGGGCTCAAGCAATTCTCCTGCCTCAGCCTCCTGAGTAGGAAGACCACAGGTGGTACCAGGCTAATTTTTGCATTTTTGTAAAGATAGAGTTTCACTATGTTTCCCAGGCTGGTTTTGAACTCCTGGGCTCAAGTGATCCACCCTCCTTGCCCTCCCAAAGTGCTAGGATTACAGGCATGAGTCACTGTGCCTAGCCTTAAATATTCTAAATCCTTATATAAAAGCTATTCATTTTAGACTTTACAAATAAGGATTAGGAAAATAGAAACACAACCTTATAAAATTAAAAAGGTTTAAAAAGAAGAAGAAAAAGTAGGAAATAATGACCACAATTCTGGTTGTAGTTTTATCGTGACTTATCTCATGTACTGTACTATTTTGGTAGCAGTCCATCGAACTGCTGGGATTAATATAGCCAAACAGAACCATCAATGTTTGCAGCTACTATTTATCACTTAAGAAATGTACTGTGACTATATATTGCTATCAAGCATCTGAGACACTGAAATGGTACCCATCCCAAATGTTAAAAAGCTAAGAACATCCCAAGTTAGTGAAAACTCAGTTATTTAATTTATCTATTTATCTACTCATGATATCAAAATTATAACTAATAATGAAAAAAAGTTAAAACTCCAATGGAAAGACCCCATTATTAAGTAATACCAACTAGAGTTTGGAAGAACAAACAAAGTAAGAATAATATTTAAAGGAATTCAAGGCTGGATGTGGTGGCTCATGCCTATAATCCCTGCACTTTGGAAGACCCAGGCGGTTGGATCACTTGAGGTCAGGAGTTCGAAACCAGCCTGGCCAACATGGTGAAACCCTGTCTCTACTAACAATACAAAATTTAGCCAAGTATGATACTGCTCACCTGTACTCCCAGCTACTCAGGAGGCTGAGGCAGGAGAATCGCTTGAATCCAGAGGCAGAGGTTACAGTGGGCTGAGATCATACCACTGCACTCCAGCCTGGACAACAGAGCGAGACTCAGTCTCAATAAACAAACAAACAAACAAACAAATAAAGGAATTAATTTGGTAAGTGTTATTTGTTATCAATTATGTTTTAGGCACTGTGTCAGACACAGAGGATACAATGTATAGAGTTGCTTAGAACAAGACACTCACAGGTCCTGCCCTCATCAAGCTTAAGGAGTAGTAGGGAAAACAAATATTGAACTGAAGTTTAAAATGATGGCAAACACTACAAGAACTGAATAGGCCCTGCAATTAAGTAACAGGAGTTTAACCTGGGTAAGGACGAAGACAGAAATGCGGGGGTTGGGAAGTAGAAGAGGTGAGATATGGCAAGCTTCTTGGAATAAGGTATATATAAGCCAAGACCGAAGAAGTAGGTGTGTGTTAGAGAAAGAAAGAAGAGGCAAGGAACTGCATTCTAGGAGGAGGGAATGGCATGTGCAAAGGTCCTGTGGTGCAGACTCAAGGTGAAAGTATAATCATGTGCTGTATAACAATGTTTTGGTCAATGATGGACTGCATATCCGATGGCGGTCTTATAAGATTACAATACCATGTATATATATATTTTTGAGACAGAGTCTCACTCTGTCGCCGAGGCTGAAGTGCAATGGTATGATCTTGGCTCACCGCAATCTCCACCTCCCAGGTTCACGCAGTTCTCCTATCTCAACTTCCTGAGTACCTGGGATTACAGACACCTGCCACCATGTCTGACTAATTTTTTGTAATTTTAGTAGAGACGGGGTTTCACCATGTTGGCCTGGCTGGTCTTGAACTCTTGGCCTCAAGTGATCCACCCGCCTCTGCTTTCCAAAGTGCTGGGATTACAGGCGTCAGCCACTGTGCCCAGCCTGTAACATCATACTTTTACTGTACCTTTTCTAGTTTTAGATACGTTTAGATACACAAATACCTACCACTCTGTTTCAGTTGCCTACAGTATTTAGTATAGTAACATGCTGCACAGGTTTGTAGCCTAGGAGCAATAGGCTATGGCACACAGCCTAGTTGTGTGGTAGGCTGTATCATGTTCACACAACAGCAAAACTGCCTAACAATGCATTTCTCTAAATGCATCCTTGTCATTAAGCAATGCATGACTGTACAGTATTCCTCAATGTGAGAAACAAACTCCAGAAGCAAATGTCAGAAATTTCTATTTCTGAAACAGAATACTTAAAAAAAAATCACTTCCTCTTATAGATTAAGAGTACTAGTAATTATCAGATTTTTATACTATATAAAAAATTCTGACTGCGCAAGGTAGCTCATGCCTATAATCCCAGCACTTTGGGAGGCCGAGGTGGGGGACTGCTTGAGTCTAGGAATTCAAGATCAGCCTAGGCAACATGGCGAGACTACATCTCTACAAAAAAATCAGAAAATTAGCAGGATGTGGTGGCCTGTGCCTGTGGTCCCAGCTACTTGAGAGGCTGAGGTGGGAGGAGCCCAGGAGGTCAAGGCTGCGGTGAGCTATAATCACACCACTTTACTCTGGCCTGGGTGACAAAGTGAGACCCTTTATCAAAAACATAAAATAATTTTCTCTGCTCTAATAATCTTTTATTAGATACATTGCAAAGAAAATGTCTATAGTAAGAACTTGGCCTACCATATTTAAACAGATCACTCCACAACAAAGGGAAGTTTCCATATTACCTAATGTGGGATAATTCTTTAAGAATCTTAGCCTTTTTAATGCCCAGTGCATCTTAATGCTAATTTTGGGGGATAGTTAACAAATAATTTTATAAGTAATAAAAGTAATGAACATATTGTTGAAATTTTGGAAAACAGAAAAAAGGAAAAATTCACTCAAAGCCGCTAATCCAACACAAGCTCTATTATATTGGTATTCTTCTTTTCTTTTTTCCTTTTTTTTTTTTTTTTTTTTTAGAGACAGGGTCTTTCTTTTTCACCTAGGCTGGAGTGCAGTGGCTATTCACAGGCACGATCCCACTACTGATCAGCATGGAAGTTCTGACCTGCTCCATTTCCGACCTGGGCTGGTTCACCCCTCCTTAGGCAACCTGGTGGTCCTCCACTCCTGGGAGGTCATCATATTGATGCTGAACTTAGAACCAACACCCCATCAACATAGCGTACTACAGCCCAGAGCTCGTGGACTCAAGTGATCCTCTAGCCTCAGCCTCCTGAGTAGCTGGGACTACTGGCACATGCCGCCCTGCTCAGCTTTTCTTTTCTTTTTTTTTTTTTAGATGGAGTCTTGCCCTTGTCACAAAGGCTGGAATGCAGTGGTGCAATCTCCACTCACTGCAACCTCTGCCTCCTGGGTTCAAGAGATTCTCCTGCCTCAGCCTCTCAAGTAGCTGGGTTTATAGGTACCTGCCACCACTTCAGGCTAATTTTTGTATTTTTAGTAGAGATGGGGTTTCACCATGTTGGCCAGGCTGGTCTCAAACTCCTAACCTCAGGTGATCCACCCACCTTGGCCTTCCAAAGTGCAGGGATTACAGGCATGAGCCACTGTGCTGGGCCCATATTGGAATTTTTCCTTCCAATTTTTTTTCTTTTGAGATGGAGTCTCGTTCTGTCACCCAGACTGGAGTGCAGTGGTGCAATCTAGGCTCACTGCAACCTCCACCTCCTGGGTTCAAACGATTCTCCTGCCTCAGCCTCCTGAGTAGCTGGGATTACAGGCATGAGCCACCACACCTGGCTAATTTTTGTATTTTTAGTAGAGATGGGGTTTCACCATGTCGGCCAGGCTGGTTTGAACCCCTGATCTTGTGATCCACCTGCCTCAGGCTCCCAAAGTACTAGGATTACAGCGTAAGCCACCGTGCCCTGCCCTTCCATTTTAAAATTTTTCTTTGAGATAGTCTCCCTCTGTCACCCAGGCTGGAGTGCAGCAACGTAATCTTGGCTCATTGCACCCACTGCCTCCCAGGTTCCAGCAATTCTCCTGCCTCAGCATCCTGAGTAGCTGGGATTACAGGCACGTGCCACCATGCCCAGCTAATTTTTGTATTTTTAGTAGAGACAGGGTTTCACCATATTGGCCAGGCTGGTCTTGAACTCCTGACCTCAGGTGATTCGCCTGTCTTGGCCTCTCAAAGTGCTAGGGTTACAGGCATGAGCCACTGAGCCCAGCCTTTCCTTCCAACTTTAAAGCAAATTCTAATATCAATAATTCTAAATTATAAAGTAGTAAAATACAAAGTATAGCATTTCTAAAATTTTTTCTCTAAAACACTTGATTCCTGAGTATACAAAAATTCCTTTAAAATACTAAAATTAAAAATTATTCACATAAAAATAAACTTCCAATTCCTAGTTTAGACATCTTTTAAAATGTGACTTAAGCTTTGAAAGAACTGGCCAGGCACCACTAGTGGCTCATGCCTGTAATCCTAGCACTTTGAGAGGTTGAGGTGGGGCAGATTGCCTGAGCTCAGGAGTTTGAGGCCAGCCTAGGCAACATGGTGAAATCCCATCTCTACTAAAAATACAAAAAATTAGCCAGGCATGGTGGTGCGTGCCTGCAATTCCAGCTACTCAGGAGGCTAAGGCACAAGAATCACTTGAACCCAAGAGGCAGAGATTGCAGAGAGCAGAGATTGTGCCACTGCACTCCAGC